CCTCTGCACTCCAGCCTGGGCTCCATCTCAACAACAACAAAAAGTTGTGTGGAAAAATACACACAAAATTTACTATCTCAAATTTTTTTTTTTTTTTTTTTTTTTTGAGACAGGGTCTGGCTCTGTCATCCAGGCTGGAGTGCAGTGGTGAGGTCTCAGCTCCCTGCAACCTCCACCTCCCAGGCTCAAGCGTTCCTCCCACCTCAGCCTCCCGAGTAGCTGGAATTACAGGTGTGAGCCGCCACGGCCAGCTCATCTTTTTATTTTTTGTAGAGACAGGGTTTCACCATGTTGCCCAGGCTGCACTTGAACTTGCATAGGCCTCCCAAAATGCTGGGATTACAGGTGTGAGCTGCCACGCTGGGCCCATCTCACTCATTTTTCAGTGTATAGTTTCTATAGTGTTAGGTACATTCACACTGTTACGTAACAAAACTAAAACTCTGTTCCCATGCAACCCTAACCCTCCTTGTCCCCCTCCCCCAGCCCCTGGTCACCAGCATTCTCCTTTCTGTCTCTATGAGTGTGACTACTCTAGACCCTGCATAGAAGCAGAATCACAGTATCTGTCCTTTTGTGACTGGCTTATTTCACATAGCATGATGTCCTCAAGGTTCATCCGCATTGTAGCATGTGTCAGATTCTCTACCTTTTTAAGGCTGGATAACTTTCCACTCCATGGATAGACCACATTTTGCTTATCCATTTATCTGCCAGTAGATATCCAGGCTGTTTCCACCTCTTGGCCATTTTGAATAATGCCACTATGAACATAGGTGTACGGGTACATGCCTTTTAAAAAAACAAGGTAGCCGGGCATGGTGGCTCACACCTGTAATCCCAGCACTATGGGAAGCCGAGGCAGGTGGGTCACCTGAGGTCAGGAGTTTGAGACCAGCCTGACCAATATGGTGAACCCCTGTCTCTACTAAAAATACAAAAATTAGCCAGGTGTGGTGGTGCATGCCTGTAATCCCAGGTACTCGGGAGGCTGAGACACCGAGAATTGCTTGAACCGGGGAGGCAGAAATTGCAGTGAGCTGAGATGATGCTACAGAAGTCCAGCTTGGGTGACAGAGCAAGACCCTGTCTCAAAACCCCCCAAAAAACAAAACCAAACCAAGGTGTTCTGGGTTTATAAACCCCTCTGACCCTGAGAGTGTCAGAAGTGCTTGTGGTAGCAAATAATTTCAAGCACTAGAAAAGCAGCATTCCTTGGTGGGTGAGAGTATACACAGCTGACAGACTGCCTGGGCTCAAATCCAGGCCCCCCCAGCTGTAGGATCTTGGGCAACTTACTTATCTCCTGTGCCTCAGTTTCCTCATCTGTAAAGTGGGAGTAATAGCACCTACCTACCTTGCAAGGATTGAATTATATGCACAAAGTTGTTGAAACAGTAGCAGGCATAGAGGAAACAGTAAATACTCATTTTAGTCCTGAGTCACACTCCTGATAACGTCATTTCACAGAGTTGGAATTGGAGGCCTGGGGCTTGCCTGGGGTCACACAGCTTATAAGTAGTGAGGTCCGAACAAAACCCAGGCACTCTAACGCCTGCATGACCATAGTAGGTTCTAATCATCTAAAGGGACGCTGTTTCATGGAAGGGCTTACGGTGCCAGACAGACATGCTGGGGCCCCAGGGAGCACTTCCCACCTGAGTCAGGGGCTCACCAGCCTCACGACCTGGAATCTCAACTTCTCCACCTGTAATGAGAGGGTGCTACTTCGTGCCCAGGGCTTACTCTGTGACAACCCCACACACTTTTATGTGCTATGTCTTCACAATTCAATGAGGACGGATCCATTAGGAGCGCAGACTCTGGGGTCAGAGGACTTGGGTTCAAATTATGGACCCACCTGGAGACCCGCCTTGAGACCTTGGTCAAGTCACTGAGCTTCTGTGTATCTGTGTTCTCCTCCCTCCAAGAGGAGAACAATAATATCTACTTTGTGGACATTATGAGGATTGAGTCAATATATTAGCCCTTAGAATGTGTTTGGCACAAGGTGAAGACATAGAACTAGAAACAGCCATAAAACAGGCCAGGCGTGGTAGATCATGCCTGGAATCCCACCCAGGTGTTGTACACTCTGCATTTAAGGCCCACTCAACACCAGCCTTGAATGTCTTAGGAAGACTGTACATTTGATTCTTGAAGCAGTGGGGAGTCATTGTAGGTTCGTTTGCAAGGGCATGACTGAAGTCAAAGCTGTGCTTTCGCTGATGCAGGAAATGTAAATTAGTACTGTCACTATGGAAAATAGTATGAGGATTTCTCAAAAAACCTAGAAATAGAACTACTAGGGAGCAGTGGCTCACGCCTGTAATCCCAGCACTCTGGGAGACCAAGGTGGGTGGATCACCTGAGGTCAGGAGTTTGAGACTAGCCAGACCAACATGGTGAAACCCCATCTCTACTTAAAAAATACAAAAAATTAGCCGGGTATGGTGGCACATGACTGTAATTCCAGCTACTTGGGAGGCTGAGGCAGAAAAATCGCTTGAACCGGGAGGTGGAGGTTGCAGTGAGCTGAGATCATACCGTTAAACGCCAGCCTGGGTGACAGAGCAAGACTCCATCTTAAAAAAAATAAAAAGAAAAAAAGAAAAAAGAAAAGAAAAAAAAGACATAGCCATAAACAGAAAAAAGAAAGTAGCCATTTCACAGGTGGGAATCTGAGGCACAAAGGGTTTGAATGACCTGCCTACAGTCAGCCTGCTCAAAGACGGCAGGAAGGGGCCGCAGACCCCATGTGTGGGGAAGCCTGAACACAGGACCTCGCTCCTGCACTGTTTCAGGGACCTGTTTCTGGGCACACCTACACATGCCCACGAACACACATCCCACCTAACTGTCCCAATCGTTCCCAGCGTGGGCCAGAAACAGCTTCTGTGTCTGGCACGTGCCCTTCTCCGGAAGACCCAGATCCTCATCCTGGACGAGGCTACGGCCGCCGTGGACCCGGGCACGGAGCTGCAGATGCAGGCCACGCTCGGGAGCTGGTTTGCACAGTGCACTGTGCTGCTCATCGCGCACCGCCTGCGCTCCGTGATGGACTGTGCCCGGTAAGGCCCCCGCCCCGGCCGGCCCTCACTGCAGCCCTGCAGCGGTGGGGGAAGTGAGCGGAGGCAGTCCCGGTTAGAGCTGGAAGGGCCCTGAATGGGGCCAGAGTGGGAGCGATGCCCGGGAACACATGCCAAGCGGGAAGGCTGCCCAAGGACATGCGCCCAGCACACGCCTCCAACCCAGCTGTGAGGGCCAGGGAGCTGCACGGAAAGCAGGACTTCTATGGAGAAAACCTCAGTGCAGACACACTGGGCTCTCACAGCTGCCGAGAGCCTGGGCTGGTGTCCAAAGAGCCTCTTTGTCTCCCTCTCCCTCACAGGGTTCTGGTCATGGACAAGGGGCAGGTGGCAGAGAGCGGCAGTCCGGCCCAGCTGCTGGCCCAGAAGGGCCTGTTTTACAGGCTGGCCCAGGAGTCAGGCCTGGTCTGACCCAAGACCCTCACCTGTACCCCCGTCGGGCCAACCCGCAGAGCCTGCAGTGCTGGAGATGGAAGTGACCCGGTGTCATTGATAACTCCACGCGACGTTCAGTCTAGACCCGTGTTTGCTCTCTGGTCTGGGAGGAAAATGGCAGAGAAAGTGGCGGATTATCACGGAGCATCAGAGCCGGAAGGACCCAGCAATACACAGGTCTGCCCGGGCAGGGCCCATCTCGCCCTGTCCACCCTGCAGCCCACGTCAACAGTGACTCTCAGCCCCACTGTACCCTGGACTCACGTCGGGGACTCAAGCACATGCCCAGGCTCCCCGCTAGACCCTTAAATCAGAATCCCTGGGACGGGGGACTGCCATGCTGTGTGTACTTTTTGGAAATTAACACTTTTATTTTGGGATAATCCCAGACTCACATGCAGTTAAAGAAACAATAATATAGATTTGTGTACTTGCTACCCCGTTTCTCCCAATGGTAACATCTTACAAAACTCTAGTATAGAGCATCACGGCCAGGGCATTGACACTGACACAACAATCTTGCTCGATTTCCCGTTTTACTTGTACTCGTGTCTGTGTGTGTGTATTTTGTCCCGTGCAGTTTTATCACACATGCAGGCTCATGAATCCACACTATGGTGAGGATACGGAATAGCCACCACCATTTTCTGACCACACCTCGGCCTCCCAAAGTGCTGGGATTACAGGCCTGAGCCACCGTGCCCAGCCTCCTCACACCTGTTTCTGAAAGTGGTCAGACTATTAATGCTGGACTCACCAAACCAGCTTCAGGAACCAGAAAAGAAGAATGAAGTCTAAAGTAGCTCAGCTTAAGGCCACACATAGATCGCTGGGAAGGGCAGCGTGAGACATCAGACACCTCCCTTGATCCTAACTTTATGTTCGCCAGGGAGTCTCAGCAGCAAGAATAACACAACACATGGATACGTGTTCATGGAAGCAGAGAAGGCAATCCCCCAGGCTTTCTGAACCTTACTGACATGTGGGGCCAGACAGTGCTGTGCTGTGGGGACGTCTTGCACATCGTAGGACACTCAGCAGCGGTCCTGGCCTCTTCTTCACTAGATGCCAGTAACATCCTCCCTCTACCACTACCAGACTTGTGACAAAGTATCTTCAGACACTGCCATACATCCCCAGAGGGGTCAAACCACCTGGTTGGGCCGGGCGCGGTGGCTCATGTCTGTAATCCCAACGCTTTGGGAGGCTGAGGCAGGCGAATCACTTGAGGTCAGGAGTTCCAAACCAGCCTGGCCAACATGGTGAAACCCTGGCTCTACCAAACATACAAAAATTAGCCAGGCGTGGTGGTGAGCGCCTATAATCCCAGCTATTCCAGAGGCTGAGGCGGGAGAATCGCCTGAACCCAGGCAGAGAAGGTTGCAATGAGCCGAGATCACACCACTGCACTCCGGCCTGGGTGACAGAGCGAGACTGTTCGTAAAAACCCCAAACAAAAAGACCCACTTGGTTGAAAATCCCCGGTCTAACCTGCCCCGCTGCCATCCATCATCCACAGATACTCGGGCAGTGGCTCTGCCGGTGTCAAGGGTGACGGGACAAGGACGCGCCACATTTTCTTAAGGACACAGGGCCAGCTCTGCCTATCAGGTCATGGGACTTTCTGATGCCCATCCTGACAGATGGTTTTGTGATGCCCCTTTTGGCCTGGAGTAAACTAAATCTAGATCTAACTGCAGCTTCTACCACCTTCAATGTGAGGCAGGGAGTCTGCAGTCTTTGCCTGCCCCTAGTCATGCATGCAGCGCTGTGGACCCACTACCTATGGCTAGCTCCATTTCACAGGTGAGGAAACTGAGGCTCAAGGGCTTGACATGACTTGCCAAGGTGACCCAGTAAGGATAGAGTGGGGATCTACTTCTGGGTCTAATACCAAAGTCACTGCACAGGGCACCTTTGTCCTTTAGAGAATGGAAGGGCAGATGCAGCCCGTCTTTTCTCTGCCCGGAGCTGAGCCACCTGACTGCCGTGCAGAGTGACCCCAGGCAGGGGCTGTCACATGGACATTTGGCAAACCCAGCCTGGGATGACCCAGGGCCACCAGATCCCCTTTCCTAGGCTGCGCGCCAGGGAGCAGAGGGTGGGCCACAGGCGGCCGGCACGTGGGAACCAGCACCTGCCAGCCTGCTAATGAGGCTGCTGTTGGGCCCATACCACAGCAGCCTGGAGATGTGCCAGCAGGGATGCCCAGGCCATTAATACCCCTGCCATGGGCTCCTGCCAGCAGGGCCTGGCTGGTGGGTGGAACACGAATTCCATCCAGCAGGGCTGCAGACCTCCTCTCTGGTCAGTGCCTGCACCTGGTAGACTCTCTAAAACTCACCACTGTCCACCTCGCCACTGCTAACACGTAACTACATGTACCTGACACTGCTCTAAATGCCCGCCAACCACACACTTATTCAGTGGACCGGAGGAGGAAGCCGCCTCACTGGGCCCCTTACTGAACACTTGGATGAGGAAGGTACTACCATCAGGCCCTTTTGACAGATGAGAAAACAGAATGAGTGGTGTCTCTGCCCGAGCAGTCTGGCTTCAGAGCCCATGTCCTCACCATCAGGCTACCTTGCCTCTTTTCCTTAAAAAAAAATTTTTTTTTTTTTAAGACAGAGTTTCACTCACTGTCTCCTAGGCTGGAGTGCAGGGGCACGATCTTGACTCACTGCAACCTCCACCTCCCAGTTCAAGCAATTCTTGTGCCTCAGCCTCCCAAGCAGATGGAATTTTACAGGCACTTGCCAGCATACCTGGCTAATTTTTGTATTTTTAGTAGAGACAGAATTTCACTATGTTGGCCAGGCTGGTCTCGAACTCCTGACCTCAGGTGATCCACCTGCCTCGGCCTCTCAAAGTGCTGGGATTATAGGCGTGAGTCACTGCGCCCAGCCAATGCATGTTTTCATAAGGTCACTATAGCCACCGGGTTGAGGACACTGTGACTGCGTGTGTGTGTGTGTTGCTGGGGGCAAAAGCCTGGAGACCACAGTGGAAGCTGTTACAGGGATGCAGGGTGAAGGTGGGGTGGCTGGGACCAGCAGGGTGGCAATGGGAGGATGGGAAGTGGATAGATTCTGGGTGTTTGGCAGAAAATCAAACAAATTTGCTGTAGGATCTGACGGCGGGTATGAGGACAGATGAACAAGTCAACACTGGGAAGCACCAGCCCCCTCCTTAGACCTCTCTGGCCCGCAGGACCCTTTCCAATGTGGAGAGTTCTACAGTGAGCCCAGGGCCAGCACGTAGTAGGTACAAAACACAGCTTCCTTCCACAGCACTTCCACTCACCTGGATGAGGAGTTATGCCTCCCTCTGCCTCCTCTTCATCAAGGGGATTAAACTTGTACCCAGCCCCGGATTCCACCTGAGCACGCAGCTGCCCCACCCCAAGACACAGGCACAGGTGCATACCACGTGGCGCTCTCAGGGACAGCTTAGGATCTGACCTGGGACTTCAATACTTAGGGTCAGGCTTTGAAATCTAAACATATCTCACATCTACATTAAGATTCCCGCCGGCAGAGCCAACTACTTTTTTGAAATGGAGCCTCAGCTCGCTCCGTCACCCAGGCTGGAGTGCACTGGCATGATTTCAGCTCACTGCAGCCTTTACCTCCCAGGTTTAAGCAATTCTGTCAGGCTCCCCAGTAGCTGGGACTACAGGCGTGTGCCACCATGCCCAATTAATTTTTGTGTTTTTAGTAGAGACGGGGTTTCACCATGTTGTTCAGGCTGGCCTTGAACTACTGACCTCAGGCAATCCACCCGCCTCAGCCTCCCTAAGTGCTGGGATTACAGGCGTGAGCCACTGCGCCCAGCCTCAACTACTTCTAATTTAACAAAAACAGTTTTTATGTGCACGGAGTTCCACTAGGTTGCCTAGGCTGGTTTTGAACTCTTGGCCTCAGGCAGGTTGGTTTTGAACTCAGCCTCTCAAAGTGCTGGGATTACAGGCATGAGCCACCGTATCTGGCCAATACTGCTAATTCTAATAGTCACAACGTCACCAGGTTTTCACTGGGCACCTTCACACTCCGTGGTTCCTAATGCAAGCCAGTGACTTCATTCTGATGTGAGCCTGTGAGCCACCATGCCCGGCCGATACTAACTACTCTAATGGTTATGACCTTACTGGCTTTTCACTAGGCAACTTCATGCTCTGCAGTCCCTAACGCAAGCCAACAATTTCACTGGGACATGAGTCACTGCACCCAGACACTACTACTCATTCGAAAAGTCACCACCTCGCCGGCTCTTCTCTGAGCATCTTTGTACACCACAGTCCCTAGGGCAAGCCAGCAATTTCAATCAGGGGACAGGAAGGCTTGAGGGAACAATGGCAGTGCTAGAATGTTCCATCTGCTCATGTACTTGGTGCATGGTTTTAAGTGTGGCAGAAATGGTGTGCTCCCCAAATACAGACATTCCTTACAGCCCAGACGCACTCAGTTCAAAGTTAGAAACCAAACACTCTAGTCTGACTACTCCGCTGTCCCAAACACGGGAACCACATGAGATAGGAAAGGGAGAAATACTTCTCTTCCACAGGCACCCCTCCATTTCCCAGCTCCCGCAGTGGCTGGGTTGGGGCCATGTGACTCGTTTTGGCCAACGGGCTGTGAGTGGGATTAACTGCATCAGTTCTGGTTTCAGACAGGGAAGAGTGGGTGAGAGTCGTCCACTCTCCCTTCTCCCGCTGTGGGGACCTGGAAGCCAGCCCTTGGGAGGCCATGTGATAAAACCAGGACAGCCTGGATCACTTGTCACAGGGAAGTCAGCTACCCTAGAGAGGCAGCTGACCCTCATCAAGAACTGCATGAGCAAGAAATAAAGCCTTGCGATCATTTCCCAAGATTTTATGGTGAATTTGTTACTGCAGCACAGCCTTGCCTCTCTGGACTAACATAAAGGGATTTTCAGGCCAGGTGCCTGAATCCCAGCCACTCTCGGCCGAGGTCAGGCAGCGAAATCCCTCGAAGCTCAAGCGTTCTTAAGAACAACCTGGGTTACATAGGGCACGACCCTTGTCCTCTCAATAAACCTTTCTCCTCCGACTCCTCTTGCGGAGGCGAGACGAGGCGGATCACCAAGCTCCACGTCAGGCAGACATCCGAGACATCCCCTGGCTTAACATGGTGAAACCCGTCTCCTACTCAAATAAAAAAAAAATACCGCAAAAAACCTAGGGCTGGCTCGGTGCCCGCGCGCCTGTAGATCGCCCCACGCTACTTCGGCGAGGTACGCCTGAGCAGGAGAACTGGCGTAAACCCGCCCGAGGAGGCCGGACAGCTTGCCAGTCGACGGCTGAGATTCCAGCACTGTAACTCACCCAGCCTCGGGGCGCACTGACGCGACCAACCGCGACTCGTCTCAAAAAAAAAAAAAAAAAAAAATCCAAAAATCAGCTGGCATGCGTGGCAACCATGCTGTCAGCTCGCGCAGCTACTCAGAAGAGGGCTGAGGCAGCAGAAAGATTGGCTGAGGCCCAGGAAGTGCTTGAGGCTGCCGTAGAGCTACGGCTCGCGGT